ATACTCTTTCATTGTGCTGCTATCAGTGACAGCCCCAAATGGGGTGGAGGAGCCTTGGTGCTGGCTCCTTCCTTCTGGGTGGGCCCATTACTGTTGGACTGTTTCCTTGGTTTCTGGCCTTGCCTGGAATCCTGAGTTCTCCTCACACAGGATGGCATTTAGACCCAGATCTGGGCTTAAGTGTGCTCTGCTTCTGGCCCCTTTCTTTAAGATCATCCTTTTTAAAAACTGCCCCTTTCTTTGCATAGTGATGTCATCTTCTGACACATTACGAGTTTGTCTCCCTCAGAAGAAGGTGTACTCCATGTAGGTGGGTGTTTTGGCAGCCTGATCCAGCCTGGAAAGCTCCTGGCCCATGGCGAGCACCCTGGCGAGGGTAGCAGAGTGAACAGCAGGTGTGGGCATCCAGGAGTGTGCATGGTGGGACTGAGTGACAACCTTACGCATACTTAACTCCTGGAGGTGTAATGCTTCTGCTTGGCCCTTTGGAACAGGGGTGAGTGTTGATGTCTTAGTAAGTGTGTGTGTGAGAGGGACTCTGAGGGAGAGATGCGAGGGCAGGAAGCAGCCCACCTTGCCCATCTCGGCCTCCGTGCATGGCGGACTTGTGCCGGGCTGTCTCCCGGCTCCTTGCTGCCTCCTGCTGTTGCACTCCACTCCGTGCAGGGACCCCCTGGCTTATGTCGTTCTGCCTGGGTCTCCTTGCTTGTCTAGTCATCCTGCTTTGTTTTTTCCTGACGTCTATCTCTGTAATATGTGGCTTGTTTACTTCAGCAACTAGGTCTGTGTCCTACTGTGAGAAGATCCATGAGGTCAAGGCTCCCATTAGCCGTGTGCTTTGCTGTGTGTTCAATATCCACCATGGTGCCCAGGACACAGCTAGCTCTCGTTGCATTTGATGAAGGAGCGACTTGTGGTTTTGAATACCCATTGATAGGAGTCCAGAATACATTCTGGTGTCAAGGGACAAAGGCATTGGGTTTGTGTGCCTGCTCCCATGCTTGTGCAGTCTTGAACAGCATCTCTAAGATTTAACATATATCTATATGTTATGTCAGGTGTCCCCAACGCCTGGGCTTGGCCTGTTAGGAACGGGGCCACAGACCAGGGGGCGAGCGGTAGGTGAGTGAGTGAAGCTTCATCTGCATTCACAGCCTCTCCCTTTCACTTGCATTATTAAGTTCTGCTTCCTGTTGTATCAGCAGCCGCTTAGAATCTCATAGGAGGCCAAACCCTATTGTGAGCTGTGCATGCAAGGGATCTACTCATAGGTGGTGTGCTCCTTATGAGAATCTCATGCCGCATGACCTGAGGTGGAGCTGAGGAGGTGAAGCTAGCACTGGGGAGAAGCTGCAAATACAGACGAACATTCGCGGGGTGGTTTGACTGCACATCCCCACCCTGCCCTGTCGGTGGAAAAACTGTCTTTCAAAAAACTGGTCCCTGATGCCAAGAAGGGTGGGGGCTGCTGTGTTAAACAGATATAGATATATTCCAAATAGTGATGTTTTGGTCAACAGTGGGCTGCAATTACAACAGCGATCCCATAAGATTATAAAATACTGTATTATATATATGGCACCTTTGTTGTGTTTAGATATGTGTAGATACACACATCCTTCCCACTGAGCCATAGCTGCCTACAGTATCAGTTTAGTCATGTGCTGCACAGGTGTGTAGCCCAGGAGCAGTAGGCTAGCCTACATGGCCCAGGGGTGTAGTGTGTTAGACCACCTAAGTCAGTGCAAGAACACTCTGTGATGGTCACACAGTGACAAAATCACTGAACAGTGCATTTCTCAGTGCGTGTCCCGGCATTAAGTGACACATGAGTGTACATAGAAATCTGGGATGTGGAGGATGAAACCACTGGCATGAGTTCAGAATAAATGAGGGGAATTATCTGTAATTTGTTGGAATAAAAGTGGATATTTGTAGCCGGGCTCGGTGGCTCAGCCTGTAATCCCGTGCCTTAGGGAGGCTGAGGTGAATGGATTGCCTGAGCCCGTGGGTTTGAGACCCGCCTGGGCAGCGAGACCTCATCTCTACAATAAATCAAAAAATCAACCGGGCGTGGTAGCGCATACCTGTAATTCCGGCTACTTGGAAGGCTGAGGCGGAAGGATCGCTGGAGCCCAGCAGGTCGAGGCTGCAGTGGCCAGGAGCGGCCACTGCACTCCAGTCTGGGCGACAGAGTGAGACTCCAACTCAAAAAAAAAAAAAAAAAAAAACGGATATTTGTAAGCCTCGTAAATAGAATTTTAGAGGACTGTTAATAAATAAAAGCTTCATTTTTTAAAAAGTGTAAAACCTTGAAAAAAGTGAAATAAAACAGCTATAAAAAAAATAAAGTCCCTTGTAATTCCACCTCCTGGGTACAAGTAAGATTATCCTCCAGACATTTTCATATATATATATATATATATATGTGTGTGTGTGTGTGTTTTCTCTATTATTGTTTTCAGTATTTTTTTCTTAAAACAAACAAAATTAGATAGTACTCTACAAAAATATATTTTCCATTCTATATAGCAGTGCTTCATTTATTTTAATTTTTTTCTTTCTTTTTTTTTTGAGTCGGAGTCTCAGTCCATCGCCCAGGCTGGAGTGCAGTGGCACACTCACGGGCACCCCAGTGTCAACCTGCTGGGCTGTGGCAACCCTTCCGCCTCAGCCTTCCAAGTAGCTGAACTACAGGCTTGTGATACCATGCCAGCTAATTTTGTTTTTATTTATTGTAGAGCCGAGGTCTCACCAAGTTCCTGGGGCTGGTCTCGAACCCACAGGCTCAGGCAGTCCACTGGCCTTGGCCTCCCACAGTGCTGGGATGACAGGCTGAGCCAACAAGCCTGGCCTGTTTTACCTGAGTGGGATTCTGCTTTATTGGTTTACCCCGGCTTCCTGATCTTGTCCTGTATTGAAGTGTGTTTGAGTTATTTCTATTAAAAACATTGTGTGACAAAGGCAGTATGTGCATGTTTGTGTGTGCTGGTTATTGCTCCAGAAGCCCCTTGCATACTCTGCCCATGAGGCTCATGATGCAGCTTGGAGAACTCTGCAGACCACTTCTGTGTTTTCAGCTCTGTTTTAGGTTCTACTCAGTGGGCGCAGCAGGGGGGGACTGGAAGCTGGTGGGGTGTAGGGATGGGTATGAGGGGATGGCATGGGGGGCATAGAGGATGAGAGACTGGGGTAGAGATTGGTGGAGGGTGGAGGGGTAGTGTGGGATTGGCCAGGTGGTGGGGGATGAGGAGGGGTATGGTGAAGCAGGTAGGCTTCTTCTTACTCTTTTTTTTTTTTAATTGGAGTCTCACTCCGTCGCCCAGGCTGGACTGCAGTGGCCGCTCCCGGCCACCGCAGCCTCGACCTGCTGGGCTCTGGTGATCCTTCCGCCTCAGCCTTCCAGGTAGCTGGAATTACAGGCATGCACTACCACGCCTGGCTGGTTTTTTGATTTATCATAGAGATGAGTTCTCGCCAAGTTTCCCGGGCAGGTCTCGAACCCGCGGGCTCAGGCAATCCACACTTGGCCTCCCAAAGTGCTGGGATTTTGGACTGAGCCACTGAGCCCGGCCTCTTCTTACTCTTGCTGTCTGGTCAGCATCGCCTGACAGGAGCCTGGCAGGAGCCTTCACTACTGCAGCAGGAGTTGGTTCAGTTCCTACTTCTCTCTTCTAGAAATAACCTGGTCCCCCCAGACTTCCCATCAGAGGTCTAGCATAACAGCCAGTGTCCTCCATCTGAGGCCTAGGGCTCTCAGTCGTGACCCTCCAGCATGTGTCCGGGCTCCATCGGCTCATCATTTCTCTTTCTCCCTTGTCTCACAGTTCCACAGGGGAACTTGGTTTTATAATTCTGTTCATCATTCTTTTCTGCTCTTGAATGTGGAGTTCTGAATACTGTTGTGCTTGAGAAAGTAGACTTGATTAGATGCATCTCAGCTCCCACATCAGCGCTCGCTTGTGGCCTGGTCGATGCTCCTTGCATGCTCAGATGGGACATCCCAGACTCACGGGGGTCCTTGAGCCCCTCCATTCGCCAGTGGCCAGACGTCCTGGTATGGGTGCAGGACTACTGCTGGCAATCAGCATTGTGCCCTAGCATCCCTGGTTGATAGAGTTTGAGCTAGTCCATAATAGGAGAAAATAAAAAGCAAAATATTCATCACTTAGGGAATAGACAGATTTTTACCTTTGGAAAATTATGATACTGGGATACCTCTTAATCATGGTGTTCCTCTTAATCTTATAAGTTTTGTGTTCATGTTCAGTTAGAAAAACAGAATATGGGCTAGACTTGCTTGTCATCCCAGCACTTGGGAGGCCAAGGTGGGATTGCTTGAGTCCAGGAGTTTGAGACCAGCCTGCATAATATGGTGAGACCTCATCTCTACAAAAAAAAATTATGCATCTGTAGTCCCAGCTACTTGGGCAGCTGTGGTGGAAGAATTGCCTGAGTCCAGGAAGTTTAGCCTGTGGTAAGTTATCATTGTGCCACTGCACTCCAGCCTGGGTGACAGAGGGAGACTCTGACTCAAAAAAAATACAGAATATGTAATCTCTGTGTGATTGCAGCTAAGTTAAATAAAAACACTCAGAAAAAAATAAAGGAAATACATGTATGGTTGCCCATAGGTGATGAAACTAGGGTGATTGACTCTCTTAACGTGTTGTTGTTTTTTTTTGTCAGCATCTCACTCTGTCGCCCAGGCTGGAGTGCAGTGACAAGCTCATGGCTACCACAGCCTTGACCAGCTGGGCTCAGGCAATCCTTCCACCTCAGCCTTCCAGGTAGTTGGAACTGCAGATGCACGTTATCATGCCCAACTAGTTTGTGATTTATTATAAAGATGAAGTCTCGCCAGGTTGTCCAGGCTTTTTTCTGTATTTTCTGAAATATTTTTGTATTTTATAATGGAAGGGTGCCCTGCCCCCTTTTGGTGAAAGATGGCCTGAGACCTTTTATTTCCTGTGTCTAGCAATTTACTTTCTCTATTATAGGATGGCAAAACAGAAGAGAAAGTTTTCCAAAGTGACAGAGATAAAAAACAAAAAATTGAAGAAGGCAACGATGGAAGGGACACTGCTGGCCGCTGAGGCCCCGCTGGACAGTGAGGAAGCTCTCCCAGAAGTAAGGCCACATAACAACCCTTTCACTCTTTCCAGGGGTCTGCCCTGTCACCTGACCCTCAGGGAGAGTGGGATGACTCAGACTGCGCATCTGTGGAGCAGAGGGTGGGACAGGCCACACGTGGGCGTGCTCAGTGCCTTCGAAGAACAGCTGTAGGACAAAGAGGGACGTCAGTAAATGTTAGGTCAGAGTGCCATAACTGCCTTTCTTCAGCCACCAAGTCTGCAGACCTGTTTTGGGGTGTGTTATGCAGGAGACATGGATGGACTAGAGTAGCCCGGTGGAGGTGGCCGGGATGGTGAGGGGTCTGGAGCCAGGCCTTGGGCTATGCTCTTGGGAAGGGGTCGGTGCGGGTTGGCAGGTGGGTGGCTTTGCATGCAGGTGGGAGACTGCTCCTCTCAATGACACGTGCAGGGGTGTGGCCTGAAACCCTATATTTAAAAATTTACATCTAGAAGTGTTCATATATAGCATAATGCATTTATTGGGAGTTTGAAAATCATCTGTTAACATCCCTTTTTAAGCTGTATGTTGTTGATATAAACAACATTGTGACTTGAATAGACACTGTCATTTACTTGAAAAAATACACAAACAGCCTATTCCTAAAGTTATATATTTTTACTTTTGAAAGTTTAAATGTACACATGAAAAGATATATGTACATTTATATTTAAAAATTTAAAGAAATTTTGTGGTTGGGTGTGGTGGCTCAAACCTGTAATCCCAGCACTTTGGGACGCTGAGGCTAGAGGATTGCCTGAGTCCACAGTTTCGAGACCAGCCTGGGCAACTAGGTGAGACTTCATTTCTACAACGAATACAAAAATTAGCTGGGCATGGTTGTGTGCACCTGTACTTCCAGCTACTTGGAAGGCCGAAGTGGAAGGTCGAGGCTGCAGTGCCATGAGTGTGCCACTGCATTTCAGCATGGCCAACAGAGTGAAACACTGAAAAAAAAAATGTTACCAAGTTCTGAACATTGTAATTTTTCTTCCATATTGAGCTTTCATATTGAACTTTACAATTAGTAGTTGACCAAATCAGCATAGTAGCTTACAAATCTTAATAAATTATTCATCATAAAGAAAATTTGAACTGGGCATGGTAGCTTTTGGGAGGTCGAGGTGAGAGGCTTGTCTGAGCCCAGGGGTTTGAGACCAGCCTGGGTAACTTGGCAAGACCTCGTTTCTACAGTAAATAGAAAAATTAGCTGGATGTGGTGGCACATACTTGTAGTTCCAGCTACTTGGAAGGCTGAGCCCAGCAGGTCGAGGCTGTGGCAGATGTGAGTGTGTCACTACACTCCAGCCTGGGCAACAGAATGAGACTTCAATTCAGAAAGAACCAAAAGAAAGAAGGAAAATTTAGTTTGGGGTTAGGTGTACATCACATAATGGCAATGGCACTATCATGTCATATTGTCATATCACAGGATGGTGATGGCAGTATCATAGATTGTCGTATCACATAATGGCAACGGCACTGTCGTATCACATTGTCACATTGCATAATGGTGATGGCACTATCATAGTACCAGCTCACATAATGCTGATGGCACTGTCATGTCATAGTACCATATCCCATGATGGCAGTATCATATCATATTGTCACACCACTAGGTGGCGATAGTACTGTCCTCTATTTCCATGTCACATAGGGGTGATGACCCTTTCCTATCATAGTCCCAGATCACACAGTCACAGGATTTCTCATGTTTTTGCTGATAGTTCACACGTCTGAAGATGATATTACTTACTGCTCGAAGGAGATGAGGCTTGGGGTTGGCTTTCTTCCTGTTCTTGTTAGGTACAAGTGCTGCATAATCTTATCACATAATAAGGTAGTGGGAATGGAAGTTGAGTTGTAGCAGGGGTGCTGCATTCCATGAACTCTGGCACCATTATGTGATTTTTGGCACATGTTACTTAAATTGATTTTTGAAGGTCTACCATTAAATGACATCTTGATTAGGTCCTTCTTTTGGACGAAAGAGTTGGAAACCACGTGACTTGTTCAAGGATTTAGTGCTGGCTCATTACGTTGTTCACTTGTACCACATGACACCAGCATTTCAAAATGCCTTTGTTTCTGCCCCAGAGCTTTTTACACCCTGGGTGGTGTGCCGTCTTAGCATTCAGGGTGGCAGAGGTCCTTTTTTCCCATGAACTGAGAGGAAGGCTGTTGTGCAGGGGGCCAGCACACCGGGGCCTCTCCCCAGAGCAGCTTCCCATACACAGCCAGTGCTCCCTAGGGGGTTCCCTGCGCCCCCCCTGCTGTGGGGGCCTTGGAAAGTGACCTGCACCCAGACTGATGGGCGCTGGTGCAGGTCACTTTAGGGTTCCATTCAGTGAGGCAGGATGAAGCGTGGGGAAGGCAGCCTGAAGTCATGTCCGTGACTGTGGCCGATGGCAGAAGCTACGGGGAGGATGGGGCAGGCACGGGGTGTGTGCCCGGAGTGCGTCCTGGCTGTGTTTCTGAAGGCTGCTCCTCAGCTGCCACCACCTGAGGGGCGAGGGGAAACCAGAGAGTACCCAGGACCCCAGTCTTGGCCTGGGCCGTGTTTGGCCCAGCCCCCAAAGCTCAAACACCCAAACGCTGAGGGCTGGCGTCTGCCTGAGCTTGAAGCATCCTGACTCTGCTTTGTGGTCTTGTGACTCACGTGCAGCCATGGGTCTTGCTCTGAGTTCTGGCTTGTCTGTCCTGGGCTGATTGCCTCTTATCCCTGCCTTCTCCACAACTTGAGCCCTGGTTGTGTGGGTTCTCTTTGGTTTTCAGGTTCCATATGGAAACCCATTTCCTGAGAGGTGTTGGAGCTCTTCTTCAGGGGTCAGCCCGCCCTGATTCTGCAGAGCCTCCATCACAGTGACCTTTGTAGGCCATTTCTTGGACACTCTCCTGCTTTTTCTAGACTCCTCCTGTTTTCTTTAAAATAAGCTCTGTCCTTGACCTTTTTAAACAAAAATTTATTTGAGATTTAGGGGGAACACATGTGAATTGGTTAAAGGACATATTGAGTCGTGGTGGGGATTGGGTCTCAGTGCCCATTCCCCAGAGAGTGAACATTGTGCCCTGTAGGCAGTTTCTCCAGCTTCATCCATGTTGCTGCGAAGGACATGATTTCATTCTTTTTTTATGGCCGCATGGTATTCCGTGGTATATATATTCCACATTTTCATTATCCACTGATCAGTTGATGGGCATTTAGGTTGATTTCACATCTTTGCAATTGTGAATTGTGCTGCAATGAACATCGGGTACAGGTGTCTTTTTTATATAATGACCTCTATTCCTTAGAGTAGATACCTAGTAGTGGGATTGATGGATCAAATGGTAGATCTACTTTTAGTTCTTTGACTAATCTCCATACCATTTTCCATAGAGGTTGTACTAATTTACACTTCCACCAACAGTGTTCCCTTTTCTCCATATCTGTGCCATGTTTTTTATTTTTTATTTTTATTTTTTAAGTCAGAGTCTCACTCTCTTGCCCAGGCTGGAGTGCAGTGGCATGCCTCACTGTCACTGCAGCTTTGATCTGCAGGGCTCAGGCAGTCCTTCCACCTCAACCTTCCAAGTAGATGGAACTATAGGTGCATGCCACCACATCCAGCTAATTTTTTGATTTATTGTAGAAACAGGTCTCACCAAGTTGTGCAGGCTGATCTCGAACCCCTGGACTCAAGCAATCCTCTCTCCTTTGCCTGCCAAAGTGCTAGGATTGTATGCATGAGCCACTGTGCCTAGCTGCTTTTTAATTTTTTAATAATTTTTAAATTCTGACTGGTGTAGATGTTATCTTACTGTGGTTTTAATTCGCATTTCCCTGATGATGAGTGACATTGAGTATTTTTTAATGTTTGTGGGCCATTTGTATATCTTTTGAGAAATGTCTACTCATGTCATTTGCCTATTTTTAAATTATTTGCTTTTTTCTTGCTGATTTGTTTGAATTCTTTGTAGATTTTGGATATTAGTCCTTTGTCAGATGTATAGTTTGATAATATCTTCTCCCATTCTGTAGGTTGCCTGTTTGCTCTGTTGATTATTTCTTTTGCTGTGCAGAAGCTTTTTAGTTTAACTAAGTTCTATTTTTTTCATTTTTATTTTTGTTGCATTTGCTTTTGGGCTTTTAACCATAAGTTCTTTGCTTAGGCCAATGTCCAGAAGAGCTTTACCTAGGTTTTCCTCGAGGATTTTTGTGGTTTTAGGTCTGACATCTAAGTCTGTATCCATCTTGATTTAATTTTTGCATATGGCGAGAGATAGGGATCAAGCCTCATTATCTTCATGTAGCTATGCAATCTGCCCAGCACTGTTTGTTGAACGGGGTGTCCTTTCTGCAGTATATGTTTTGTCTGTTTTGTCAAAGATCAGTTGGTTGTAGGCATTTGGGTTTATTTCTGGGTTCTCTGTTCTATTCCATTGGTCCATGTGTTGGCTCTCATACCAGTACCATGCTATTTTAGTTACTATGGCCTTGTGGTATAATTTGAAATCTGATAGTGTGATACCTTTAGCTTTGTTCTTTTTGCTTAGTATAAAGCTTTGATTATTCTGGCTCTTTTGGTTCCATATGAATTTTAGGGTTGTTTTTTCTAATTCTGTGAAAAATGACATCAGTAGTTGGATGGGAATTGCATTGAATCGGATTACTTTGGGTAATATGATCATTTTTTTTTTTTTTTTGAGTTGGAGTCTCACTCTGTCACCCAGACTGGAGTGCAGTGGCCGCTCCCGGCCACCGCAGCCTTGACCTACTGGGCTCTGGCGATCCTTGCGCCTCAGCCTTCCAAGTAGCTGGAACTACAGGCGCGAGCTACCACGCCCGGCTAGTTTTTGATTTGTTGTAGAGATGAGGTCTTGCCAAGTTGCCCAGGCGGGTCTTGAACCCGCAGGCTCAGGCAATCCACTCACCTCGGCCTCCCAAAATGCTGGGATTACAGGCTGAGCCACCAAGCCCGGCCGTAATATGATCATTTTAATAGTGTTGATTCTTC